TTCCTTTGGTGTGCTCTCACAGTGACCAGGGGAGCAAGCAGCACCCTTCTGCAGAAGTAAATTTGCCTTGACGAGAAATCCTTTTTTTTTTTTTTTTTTTTTTTGAGTGCTTGTTTTGTTTGTTTGTTTGGACTCTGAGCTCTTATTTCCAACATTGGGAGGCTGAGGCAGGAGAATTGCTTGAACCCAGGAGGTGGAGATTGCAGTAAGCCAAGATCACTCCAGCCTGGATGATAGAGCAAAACTCCATCTCAAAACAACAACAACAACAACAAAAACAACCCTTAGATAGCAGGGAGATGCTGGAGGGGTAGGGTCAGAATAATGTGTGAGAGCAGGAATTTCCTAGGATTGTCCTCCACAGGACTATATTTCAGAAAACATAGTGGTGGAGCTACTTTTCCATTCACATGTACTGCCCTAGCCTCTCTCAGTCCCCCTGAGGGTCAGCTGTGTGCTGCCAACTTGGCTCCCTCCAACCCTGCCCAGCACCAACACCCCTGCCCCGCCCCCGCCCCCCCCTCCCAACCTTCTGCCCCACCTGATGCACATTCACAGCTGCATTGTTGCATAATGGCAGTAGAATGTTGCAGAAGACACAAGGATTCCTCCCCTCCATCTTCAAAGAAAAAGTCACTGATCACATTTGGTAAGTTAGTGAATGTTAAACACATTCATGAGTAAAAGAAAATCTGAATGAACAAGAATTGGTAATCTACCTAGCTGAATACAAATGAATGCTGGCAGTTCAGTAATAGGAGGTAAAGAATGGCGCTAACTGCAGAACAGCAGCGCCCCCTCCCACCCAGAAGCGGTGTGACTAGGAAGCAGCCCCGTGCTGGTGGGGGTTGCTAAGCAAAGCGAGCTGCCTATCAGTTCTGGTGAGTTTGCTGATGCCAGACAAAAGACACCTGTTCTCTTGCTGCCTGCCCCAGTTACCTCCCAAAGTCCCTGACTGAGAATGGAAAGCATCTTTCTCTGTGACTTCAGTGAACCAGCAAATATCAGAGTTCAAAGCACAAGACTAAATAGTCATAAGTATAGGCAGCGACAGCAGCTACCATTTACAATGTGCTTACTTGATGCCAAACCCTGAGTTAGGCGTTTTACAGTCTTATATCATTTAGCTCAGCAATCCATGGAAGCGTCGTTTTTAAAATCATCCTCTGACAGATAAGAAAACAGGGCTCAAAGAACATAGGTGACCTGCCCAAGTGTCCAAGGCCACACATCCGCAATGACAAGTTAGGGTTTTAAGCCAGGGCTGCAGATGAAGAAGGCGGGAGTCTACGGTGGAGTCACACGGTGGAGACCTTGCTAAGTCAGAGGCCTGGAGAGGTGTCGTTCTAGCTGGGCAGCAGGTGACACACAGTCATCCCCTGAGCTGACTAGAGAAACACCTGGGACTGACCTCAATTTTTTTTCTGGAATGTTGTCACTGGAATGAAATCTGAGTGGTCCGCAGGTCGTACAGTATCAGAGAAAACATAGCCCTCATTGAAAACGGCTTCCAGAGGAAGGGTGTCCACAGGGTAATTCAGGGTTTTTAAAAATTGGTTTTGTTTGTTTTGGAGACAGCCTTACTCTGTCGCCCAGGCTGGGAGTGTAGGGGCATGATCTCAGCTCACTGCAACCTCTGCCTCCTGGGTTCAAGTGATTCTCCTGCCTTAGCTTCCTGAGGAGCGGGGATTATAAGCGCCCACCGCCACGCCCGGCTAATTTTTATTTTATTTTATTTTTGTAGAAACAGGGTTTCACCATAGTGGCCAAGCTGGTCTTGAAATCCTGACCTCAAGTGGTCAGCTTGCCTTGGCCTCCCTAAGTACTGGGATTATAGGGGTGAACCACAGTGCCCGGCCAGGAAATTCAGTTTCTGAAAATATACCTGTGTGTCTCTAGCCTTGAACATCCCTGGATGTTGCTTTAAATGGCTGATGCTACATGCCTCCCTTCCAACTCTCACGCCCGTTCTCCTACATCAATCTCCCAGAAAAAGGGTCCTAGTTTATTATTTTGTAGAGGTGGGTCTCACTTTGTTGCCCAGTCTGGATTTGAACTCCTGGCCTCAAGTGATCTTCCCTTCTTGGCCTCCCAAAGCACTGGGATTACAGGCGCCAGCCACGGCGACTGGCCGGAAGCCTGTGTTAAGCCCTTTTATGCTCACTGTGCTGTGTGACATAGAGGGCAGGGAGGGAGCAGGGGTGCCCTGGCATCTTCAGCAGGTGGTGAGCAGGGCGCGGAGGGTGGGAGAGGCCAGGCGCCTGGGGATGGGAGGCAGGACCGTATCTTCACAGGACGCTGCCACCCCTACCCCGGTGGTCAGGGCCTCTTGCCCAGCTCTGGCTCTGAGGTCCTGGAGGGAGGGAGATGGTGTTGCCACTCGGAGGATGCCGGGAGGGGCACCTCCATTCGAGAAGAGGGAAAATCCTGAGCCTGAAGCACACGTGGAACCCCTTGGAGCCGAGGCTTTAGAGGGTGGGAGGAGGGGCTGGCACCGCCCTGTGGGCGGGTCGTTGGGGCTCGCGGGGCTGAAGGCACCGAAGATGGCGACCTGCGAACCCTGGGGAGGCTCCATGCTCTGGACTTCTCCACCGGCTTACGACATGAGTGCTCAGTAAGCTTCTTGTTTAACGCACTGTTGTATCAGGTCCCTGTCGCAGCTGTTGGCCCCATCGCCTGATAAAAAAGCGGATGCGTGCACTGGTGAGCTGCTGCTGCAGCAACCAGACGGCGGCTGGCATAGGGTTCTCGCAGGCCTGTGCTTGGGCTCGAACGCCGGGCCGGCTGCTGCGCTCTGTGGCTCCCTGCAGGCCTGCGGATCGGCCAGGGTGCTCCGTTCCCTCTGGGCGTCCGCTGAAGGGCTTCAGGGTGAAGGCAGAAGCTCACGCGGGCCGTCGGAACCCCCTAAGGCGTCGGCTGGCATCTGGCAGGCTTTCGTTTCTGCTTCATTCCATAGCCAAAGCAAGCCCCGTGGGCAAGCCGGAAGCCGGGGTGGGGTGGGGTGGGGTGGGAAGTACCCTCCAACCACTGCGAAGCCACATGTCGTGTGTCTGGGGGAGTAGGGTTGTGGGGAGATAAGCACCAGTGTCCTGGCCGTCCTGAAGGTACATGCTCAGATACACACACAAATGCTGGTGAAGACAGTCTTCAGTAATCTCCTTCGCCAGCCTCACTCCCCATCCCAATACCATCTGTATAAGACCATATAAGATGAAATAAGATTGGCCTTGGTTAGGCTGGGAATGGTGGCTCATGCCTATAATCCCAGAACTATAGGAGGCTGAGACGGGAGGATTGCTTGAGACCAGGAGTCCAAGGCCAGCCTTGTCAACACAGTGAGTTCCCATCTCTAAAAAACAAAATAGGGAATGCTAATGCTGCCTGGCTGGACCACACTTTATTATTTTATTTATTTATTTATTTTGTGGAGACGAGGTCTCGCTATGTTGCTCATGCTAGTTTTGAACTCCTGGCCTCAAGCCATCCTCCCGCCTTGGCCTCCCAGAGTGTGAGATTACAGGTATGAGCCACTGCACCTGGCCTGGACCACACTTTATTATACAGATCTACAATTTTTTTAAAGCAGGGTCTTGCTCTGTCTTCCAGGCTAGAGGGCAGTAGTGTGATCATGGCTCACTGCAGCTTTGAACTCCTGGGCCCAAGCCTCCAGAGTAATTCAGACCACAGGCATGGGCCACTGTGCCCAGCAATTTAAAAAAAAATTTTTTTTTGTAGAGACAGTGTCTCCCCTTGTTGCCCAGGCTGGTCTCAAACTCCTAGGCTCAAGCAGTCCTCCTACCTCAGCTTCCCACAGCGTTGGGATTACAGGAGTCATCCATTTTGCCTGGCCCTGGACTAGACTTTAATTAGCAAGGTTCTAGATTCTGAAGTGCTTTCCAGGTGCTTGAAATCATGATTTCTTCAGCCAGTGGGGCGGAGGGCTGTGCTAAGGATAGAGTGACCAAACACAGAGAGGGAGCTGAGGGCACCCACACGTGGGGATAAAGGAAAATCTTGAGGTCCTTCAAGGGAAATCCTAACTAGCCCTGAGGAGTCAATAAGCAACTTAATAAGCAGGAAGGTAACAGTCGTCTAAAACAGTAGCTAAGGAAGTTCCAGTCAGGAGATGTTTGGTTCCCCTATAGGAACTAAAGAGAACCTCTTAACAGATGTCCCTGAATTGTTTTTCAGAAGCCCAGACCACTCCAAAAGGATCCACTGGCACGTAGACTTCAGAGAAGCAGGTGCTGACGACTGACTCTGACTGTAGTTCCTTCTAACTTTCTTCCTGAGGGGCCTGGAGGAGGTCGTGCCCAGGAGCCAGAGCTAACATTCTTTTCTGCTGATCCCAAATGTCTAGACAAAGCTTTGCCTCCTGAACCAGCTGCAGTTTTTATTTCATTTATTTATTTTTTTGTAGAGACGAGGTCTCCCTATGTTTGCTCATGCTGGTTTTGAACTCCGGGCCTCAAACCATCCTCCCGCCTCGGCCTCCTAGAGTGTGGTACTACAGATAAGAGCCACTGTACCTGGCCTGGACCACGCTTTATTATACAGATTTCAGAAAATCCTTGAACCCACCTTATGACTTGTGGGTCCTGCTTTGAGAGGTCCTGCCATTTAGTTTAAACCAACATATAGCTCCCATCTATTGACTTAGGATTTTACCTGGAACACCTGCTTTCCTGAAATTTACCCCTGCCTTTAAAAATCCTTACCTACGGCCGGGCACCGTGGCTCACGCCTATAATCCTAGCACTTTGGAAGGCCAAGGAGGGCAGATCACTTGAGGCCAGGAATTTGAGACCAGCCTGGTCAACATAGTGAAACCCTGTGTCTATTAAAAACACAAAATTGGCTGGACGTGGTGGTGGGTGCCTGTAGTCCCAGCTACTCAGGAAGCTGAGGCAGGAGAATCGCTTGGACCTGGCAGCAGAGGTTGCAGTGAGCCAAGATCATACCACTGCACTCCAGCCTGGGTGACAGAGCAAGACTCTTTCTCAAAAGAAAAAAAAAAAAACATCCTTACCTGCAAGCCATCAAGAGTTCATATCTTAAGCCTAAGCCGCCCAGTTCTCCTTGCTTGGAGTCCTGCAAACAGATGCCTTCCTCCATCGCTGCAGAGCCTCAGTGTGGACATCTGGTGTTATTGCGCCAGGTGAGCAGACCCCGTTCGGGTCTACAACAACATTCTGATGTGCCCAGGATTGAGGAGCGTCCTAGGATGCAGGATTTTCTGTGTTAGAACTAGGAAAGTCCCGAATAAAGCAGAACAACTTGGTCACCCTATCCAGATAATGAAAGAGAAAGGCATGCTGTGGTCTGAGTTGCTGTGTGACCTGAAAAAGAACCAGGGGGCCGATTGCTCAGGTCCCACCTTAGACCAATTAGTCTAGTACCTCCTATATCACAGGGGTGGAAACCAGCCCAGAGAAGTCCAGTGACTTGGCCCGTGTCACCCAGCTGCTCAGGGACAGGGCTGAGAACAAGCTCCCGCCTTCCGACTCCCCATGCAGCTCAGCACCTTCTCCATCAGTTCACATTGTCTTCTCTAACACGTTCCTCTTGATTTGGCAAACTCCGCATATTTATTTATAAATTGGCTTGTTTTGGAGCCTGAAATTTGGCATCATTGATTTTGGCTGTGAGGTGTTCACATTTTTCTTCTGTTTGTTTTCGTTTGCTAAACCATGTTTTATGAGCAAAACCACAAAGTCATAAAAACACAATGAGGCCGCTAAAGTTGTTCAAATGCAAAGCATCCAGAAATGTGACGGCGTTGACTTTCTCAGATTTATTTGTGTCCTCAGACAGTAGATTAAAACCGAATGAGGTTTACTTCCAGGGATTTACGGGCCCAATATAGGTAAACAGCTGGGGTTTCTTTTTAGGCTGTTTCTCTTGGAGGTGGGGCAGGAGGGTGAGGACAGCACTTCCCAGGAGCAGACAGCTGGAGGCTGTTCCCGAGGTCATGTCCTTAGAGGAGAAGTCAGAGTCCAGCAGCCACCGGCACCAAGGTACGTGTGGGGATCGTCACGATGCCACCCCAAATCCTTTGCCCTTTATTTTGCACACAGCAGGAGTTGTCAGAGAATGCTTCCTTGCATTATTAACACTGAGAATCCATGCAGAGATTTCACACTAATTATGTGAATCCATTGTGTTGAAGAAGGCCAGGGTGCCCTCAGTCCCCAGATCTTTCTAATTGTGCTGTTACGTTCAGGCAGGTTTTTGGAGACAGAGAGAGATTGGCTGCATTGTATCTGCGTCATTGACCGTTCTGGTGGAGGTTCGCGTGGCCAGGGAGTCTGAGTGCAGCCCCGATGCGTGCTTCATTCATGCCAATCTGTGAGTCTGTTCCAGGAACTAGAGGAGAGGGTCTTAACCTTGACTGCAGCCTGATGAAGGGTCAGCTTTCGTGGTGAACACTTTGCTTTTTGAATGGTGTGGTTGGCTGGCAGCTCTTGACCTTACCTGCAAGCCATGAAGAGTTCATATCTTAAGCATAAGCCGCCCAATTCTCCTTGCTTGGAGTCCTGCAAACAGATGCCTTCCTCTCGCTATTGTTCTCTCTCTTAATTTAACAACCCAGTCTAAAGCCTGAGCACAGGTACAACCTGGTCCAGTCTCTTTAGCAACAAAATACCTGTGTGTGCCTATCTTATTGCTAAAAGTATTGGACAAGGGCTGTATACAAACACACACACAGATGCACTGTACAGGAGACCCTGATCAAACACAAATCTAAAAAATTGTTTGTAAACAAATGCAATGGGATGGTCATAGCTCTCTGCGGCCTTAAACTCCTGAGCTCAACTGATCCTCATGCCTCAGGCTCCCAAGTACCTGGGACTACAGATGTGAGCCACTGCACCCGGCCAGGCAGTGAAGGACTCTCTAAGCAAGACCTTGACTTGGAAAGTTGCCACCAACTCCCCAGCTCTGTGAGAAGTCTTGGGGCCGGGGAGTTTAAACTCCCCAAATTAACTGGCTCACAGGGGGAGTTCTTTCCCGGTGATGAGTTGGGGCTGCTTCTGAAGAACATTTAGAATGAAAATCTAGAGCTCACCCCATTCAGAGTTAAAAATAGCAGCAAAGAAATGTTAAATCACAGCCTCTGCTTGGTCATACCCTTTTATACGTGTCACGAGGGTCACTGCCAAAGAAAGAAGTGAGTTAAGTACAAGCCAATTCGGTCGGGGGTGGGCAGACAACCAGACTCATCCAAATGCTTGGCTCGTGGTTTTCCTGTTGCTCCGTGGTTTGTCCTTTGTGAGGATGCGAGTGACAGAGTTGGAAACGTGGGGCCTCAACTCTGCTTCATGAACCAGGCAAGGAAGAGCTGGGGGTGGAGGTAGGGGGTGCCAGAGGAAGGAGGATCTGAATTTGAGGAAGAAAAAGGACAGTGCAGCAAAGAGTTGGGTTCCTGTCAAGCTTCTGAAGGACACAGTGTGCTGTAACAGAGCTCTCTGAATGAGAAGCGCAGCCCACCAGCAAAGCAGCTGCCACCTGTATGTGTCTCAGATGGCCGGGGGGCAGTTCCTGTTGTGGCCTGATTCACGGTCAGCACCGCGCGGCTCACTCCCAAGCTCCAGCACACATTTCCCCACTGGGAGCTCAGCCAACCATTTTGGATTCCTGAAGGGAAAGGACGTCAGGAGTGGAGGAAGGGGTGGTGATGCGGAGAGGCCTCTGCTGCTAGCCCCTGCAGGTGGAGAAAGTTCCAGATGCCTCGGCCCCAGTCAAAGCAAGCCCGGCTGACCCTTGGGATATCAGTGGCATGGGGAGTGGAGATATTTCGCGGCTGACAGCCTGTTTGTTTATTACAAAAAGGACTAGAGATGAGTCACCAGGAGAGGCCTACGGATTTCTCAAGCCAAAACACTTAGACCAAGTCTCCCAAAAAAATAGAGCCAAGCATCTCATAGAGTTAATGATTGTCTGCAGGACTCCTGACAAGATAAGCGTTTCTTTCTGTTTTTTGTTTGTTTTTTTGTATGGTCTCACTCTGTCGCCCAGGCTGGAGAGCAGTGGCATGATTATGACTCGCTGCAGCCTCAACTTCCCGGGATCAAGTGATCCTCCTGCCTCAGCCTCCCTCGTAGCTGGAACTACAGGTGCACGCCACCATACCTGGCCACTTTTGTTGTTGTTGCCCAGGCTGGTTTCAAACCCCTGGGTTTAAGCCACCCTCCCACCTCGGCCTCCCAAAGTGCCGGGAGTACAGGCATGAAGCATCATGCTTGGCCAAATAAGCGTTTCTTGGACAGACCCAGGAGTTCTACTCCAAAGTTTAGAGCAGGTTAACTGGGTGGCTATGGAGTGTGACCAGATGGAGACATGAGTCTGTGGCCAACGCTGTGACTGGCTGGCAGTCGGCAAGGCAAGGCAGTAGGTACTTCACACGCTGTGCACACCCATCCCAGGCAGTCGTAGACACCTAGGTCTCCCCACCCCACAGCATACACAGGCTCCAGGGAAAGCAGCTGGTTGGCAGATGCCGCCCCAACCCGGTATCTTTGGGTATCCTTGCCCTGGGCAACACAGTGAGACCCTGACTCAAAAAAAAAAAAAAAGTCCCTCCCGTGCCAGCTGCCTGTGTCCCAACCACTCAGGTTCTTTGCTTCTCAACAGAATCCACCTGCAGTTTCCTGCTAGCTGTGTCTCGAGGAGCCCTCTAGCCACCAGACGTGTCTTTAATGCCTATAAAGTCCAGTTCGGAGGAGGAAACATGTTATCAGGTATGTACAGGCGCAGACAGCAACAGGCCAGTGAATAAACCCGGCACCAAATGGGCCATCAGCATAGGAAGCCCCACATGGTAAATGTGGCCGCGCGTGCATAGCAAGCTTGCCCAGGGGAAGCTGGGCCACAGGTTGGGGGAAGGCCCGTGACGAGGCTGTATGTGTTTTGATGCAGAAGTTATTGGTTCTGAGCAGAAAGGGCAAGGTAAGAAGGGCAAAGCTTAAAAATGCAGTTTCCCCCTTGAGTTCTTCTCTCCTCGTATTGGATTTCCCTCCCATGATAACGTGCCCCAAGGGCTGAGAGTCGCCCTACCGTGTTGAACAGACGGAGACAATGCCGTCTTTTGGCTTTCCGAGCTACAGAAGCCGAGGCTAAAACACCAACTCTATAGCCATGAGGACCAGGTGTTTTTTGTTTTTTGTTTTTTTTCTGAGACGGAGTCTTGCTCTGTCTCCCAGGCTGGAGTGCAGTGGCACAATCTGACCTCACTGCAACCTCCGCCTCCTAGGTTCAAGTGATTCTCGTGTCTCAGCCTCCTGAGTACCTGGAATCACAGGCATACACCACGACACCCAGCTAATTTTTTGCCTTTTTTTTTTTTTTTTTTTGAGAGGGAGTCTCGCTCCCCTTATGCAGGCTGGAGTGCAGTGGTGTGATCTCAGCTGACTGCAACCTCCGCCTCCCAGGTTCAAGCGATTCTCCTTCCTCAGCCTGCCAACTAGCTGGGATTACAGGCATGTGCCACCACACCCAGCTAATTTTTGTATTTTTAGTAAAGATGGCATTTCACCATATTGGCCAGGCTGGTCTCAAACTCCTGACCTCAGGTGATCCGCCCGCCTTGGCCTCCCGAAGTGCTGGGATTATAGGTGTGAGCCACCGCACCTGGCAGAGGACCAGCCTGTGAGTCTAGGGACCCTGGAATGCGGCAGCCCCAATCTTGACTTTAGTTGACCTGTGTCATACGCAGGGGCTTTAGGTGGCCAGGAGCAGGGCATCTGGTTGAATGGGTGAGGGAGACCCTGAGATTGCTACAGAACAGACCATTGAGGGCCTGTAACTGAGTCCAAACTCACCCTGCTTGCTGAGTGACAGCCAGTATGTTGAGAGACAAGGAGTTGGAGCAAAGAAAGGGACTTTATTTTCGAGAGCCAGCAAACCAAGAAGATGGTGGACTAATGTCCTAAAGAACCGTCTTAAAATGCTGCGGGGTTTGCCTTGTTTTTTGTGTTTCGTTCAGGGGGAAAGGAAGGTGCTGACAACTGCAGACATCTGGACACTAGCAAGGGGCCGGGGGAGGTTTGCGAAACTTCTTCGTCCTTGGCTAACAAGTCTCTCATGTGATAATAGCCGAACCTCCTCGCTCCTATAAATCTTTAACAAAAATAGCCGTTTACATGCTTCCCCTTTAATCCCAAAGTTAGTTTTGCAAACAGCATGATTGCTGTTTTTGCGTTTTATCTCAGTGCTCTAACATTACCCTAGCCTAGGTGCAGGAATAGGTAAAGGCCCCTTAAACAAAAATGAAGTTAGTTATGTTAGTTGTTCTGCTGTTTCATGGTTACAAGACCCAGAAGAGAACCCTTGCGTCTAAACAGGATGAGATTAGTTATTGTTCCTTTAAAACATCCATGTGGTTGCTTTTTGGCCCCCTCTTCAATATCCAGGCTGTGCTGACGAAGCGAGTAGCAGCTCTGGAGCCATCAGCCACCAACCATCTCATCTCAGCCCAGGGCATGCTGGGAGAGGCCAGGAAAAGTCACTTCTCTTCTTTGCTTTCACTGTCTTTTCTGTGGCCTCAAAGTCTTCAAAGGGGAGACCTGGTGTTCTCAGCACTGCTCAGCCTCCACGAAGCCCTCCTTCTCATGGCCCGAGGGCTCCACCTCCACATAGGTGGAATGATCCGCATGGCTGCGAAACTTCATGGCTGGCCAGTGGTGAGGTCTCCGCTGGAGTAGGCACAGAGGCAAAGTCAGTGGGCATGACCCTCCCCATGGGCCCCCACACTCCTGAGCAGCAAAGCCAAGACTCTCTCTTACAAGGGTCCTTGGGGCCTACTAGGAGCCAGACAACTGACCTTCAGGGACCCTCTCCCTAAAACGTGCCCTGCTGTGATCCCCCAACCACTGGGAAACCTGCCGGAAGCTACGGTGTGGAAGGGCACTTTATCCTTCACTGCGTGGTCTGCAGAACTCACAGCTAAAAGCTTCAGAAATATACCAAGTGGCGACCGGGGACTGCAAAGTGAGGAATTGGCTCAGAGGCGGCTGGAATGACGCTGAGACTCTGGAAATGCCAGGATAACCCTCCAGGTAGCACAGGGCCCATAGCAGAGTCAACAGGGGGCTTCTTAGATTCTGGCCAGAGTGGTGGCTCACGCCTGTAATCCTAGCACTTTGGGAGGCCAAGGTGGGTGGATCACGTGAGGTCAGGAGTTCCAGACCAGCCTGGCCAACACAGTGAAACCCCGTCTCTACTAAAAATACAAAAATTAGCCAGGTATGGGGCACGCACCTGTAGTCCCAACTACTCAGAAGGTTAAGGCACCAGAACTGCTTGAACCCAGGAGGCAGAGGCTGCAGTGAGCCAAGATTGTGCCACTGCACTCTAGCCTAGGTGACAGAGTGAGTCTCTGTCTCAAAATAAATAAATAAAATGCAGATTTCTGGGCCTGCCTTAGACCTGCCCTATCAGAATCCCTGTGGCCTAGGGATCTGCAGTTCCCAGGTATTACCCAGGTAGGCTAAGACTTCAGAATGGCCAAGCCTCCTAAGAAACAGGCAGAATGACCTAGGCCCGGGGGTAATGAGACTGCTGGGCTCGTGACCCACGTGGAGGAGACTAGGGTCATAGAGGCACGACGGTTGCACCCTGTGGGGAATGTGAAAGAAGCCAGGAGTGGAGGATTGGGGGCAGGAGCTGCTGAGCTCTACAGCCCCAAGTGAAGGAGGCTGAGCCTCCCGTCCCATGCTGCCCCTCAGGCTGACTTTTCAGAAGTGAAACAGTCAAAACTTAGCATCCTCAATTAAAGCTCCCAGAGGGCCACTCTTATCATTATTTGGTTTGTCTATTTTATTTTTATTTTAGAGATGGGGTCTCCTCTATCACCCAGGTTGGAGTGCAGTGGTGTGGTCAGAGCTCACTGCAGCCTCAAACCGCTGGGCTCGAGGGATCCTCCCGCCTCAGCTTCCCAGGTGGCTGGGACCACAGGTGCATGCCACCATGCCAGGCTAATTTTTTAAAATTTCCTTAGAGACAGGGTCTCGCTCTGGTGTGCAGGCTGGTCTCAAAGTCCTGTGCTCAAGAAATCCTTCTGCCTTGGCTTCCCAAAGTGCTGGGATCTTAGGACGGAGCCACTGCACCTGACCCTCCATTTTAACCTTCAAAACAGGTATCAATAGGCAAAAGAGGCAGAGACCCTGGTTCCCTCACAGCTTTGAGTAAGTACCGAGCCTGGCATTTGGGCATGAGAGACCATAAATCACTAGAGAGTGACTGCACAGCCACTAGATGGGCACCGTGTGGCACTGTGGTCTTTCTTTCCTCTAGGGATTCTTTTCTGATTTCACAAATGGGGGAACAAGGGCAGAGGGGCTGTTCCACAGAACAAGAGGGCCGAGGGAGTTCTAAGGTGCAGATTTCTAGGGGTGCAGGATTTAATGGGCACCAGTCGTCTTGAAATGTGTCAGGATGGGGTGGATGAATGTTTATCGGGTATGTGGCAGGAGACGCTGACGCAGACGCAGACAGCAGCCCTGCGGTCACACGGACCTCGATGAAGAAGAGCGCAGCATTGGACGTGGGGTGGCCGCTGATGTAGATCCCAGCCAGGATGATGGCCGCCACAAGGAAGACTGCCAGCACGATGCCCACGATGGTGCCCAGGTGCACAGGGGTGCCCTTCGTCTTGGGGGACAGCTTGTTCTCAAGGCCTGTGGAGAGAGCATTAGGGCGGGCAGGGGCTGCAGGGGAGCAGGGAAGGTCGAACCGTGGGGTCTTGGGTTCTAACAAAGTCTCAGAAATGAAAGCCTACAGAGCCTTTGGGTCTACTCATCAAATACAGGAAAAGGTTGAGCAGGAGCTGGAATCATTATGAGTAAGGCATTCACTTTGTTCTTGGCACCATCTGGGTAGTTTTCCAAAATCACCTACAAGTTGCCCAGATGTCTAGTAAGTATCATAAGAGAAGTCCTCTCTGATATCTGTGCTACCACAGAAGCGCTATTAAGGAATTCACAGAGGGCATGTGAGGGTTAAGAGTTTGGGATCTGAAATCTGGCTGCCTGGGTTGAAATCTGTGCTGTGCCACATACTAGCTGTGTGGCCTTGTGCAAATTATATAACCTCTCTGTGTCTTCATTATGACTTCTGTAGAACAAGGATAATAATACCCACTGAATGGGGTTATTGAGAGGGTTAAAATGAGATGATTCATGTCAAGCCCTGAGGACTATGTCTCCCAGTTTGGATAACTTCAATAAATGTTAATAGAGAGCAAGTGACCATGGTTTTCCCTATCCCTTGTCCACTTCCAGACTGTGACCTCTTGGAGGGCAAGGATGATGACTTATTCAACTTTGTGTCCTCAGCTCTTGGAGAAACTGGCAGGCCCATCAGAGAAGCTCAGAGAAAGTGTGCATAATGATCTAGGTCCTCTGGAAGCTAATAAGCCAACAGGCACTCTCTGAGAACATCCTAGCCATCTGAAATAGGTCCCAGTGGGGAGAGACTATTTTCCAGAGAGCTGGAAGCTCAACCCCTTTCGTTCATGACTGAGGTAATGGAAATAACAGAGAGGTTAAGCGATTTCCCCACAGACACACAAATTCAGTGCCCGCCACTAAGAAACCAAGTTCCCTGACACTACCGGGGGTGGCTGTTTGCCTCTTCACCCTATCCTAAAGGAATGTGAGATAATGAGGTAGAGAAGACAGATGAGCAAGTTGGCAACAGAAATATTGCATTCCTCCTACGAAGCTAGTGGGTGGGATGGGAGGTAACTAGCGGTGCCAGTTTTTAATGGGATGTTGCGTGCATTCAGAATCATTGTCCTCCTCATCCCTTTTGCTGTGCTCTGCACTCTGTAAGCAGAGGACACCTAGGAGAGACACTATCCTGGGGTACTCCAGGGCATGGCTAGGGCCTCTGTCTGCCAACAGGTGGGAGGGCGGAGGTGAAATGCCCCAAGCGAGCCTCCCCTGACCTGGTTGGCAGTCAGCCCGCTGCCCGCAGTGGCTCTGATGATTTGATGAGGGCTTCTGCCGATGAGCACACGGTGCACAGCGAGGGGATTATGGCCCAGCCACCCCCGCAGGACACACGCACACTCACACCCACTGCCTATGGAGAAGCAGCGGCTCCCTCTCTGCTGGGGGACACCGTAACACTGTGCCGCCTTAATAATCTTCCCTTTCCCGCTGGAAGCCCAGATGACAGTCTCCAGCCCCTGCAGTTGGAAGGCACCTTCATATCTACTCTTTCACGGGTTGCAGCAAAAGCCGGAGCTGGCTCTGGGCAAAGGGCAGGGGCGGTGGGGGCCACTCCCACCATCAGAAAGAAGATTATCCTTCTAGGTAATCCTAGGAGGCTGGGGGGAGTCCTGCCTTCTGGCACCCTGCAAAAATTGTAGTGGACAGTTTTATGTCCTCTCTGCCAGCCTGGGTTAGGAAAGAGAAGCTGCTCTCCACCCCTTGCTGACTATGAGCCCTTGGGGATCAGAGGGGGTGGCCATGGGCCCCACCTGTACCTGCCCTGGCTCAGCCCCTCCCCTCCTCCCACTCCTTTCTGGGCAGTGAATATTTAAGGACAGAGAGCTGGGTGGCTGAGATGAGAAACATCTAGGGATAGACGTGTTCCTTTGATCTAGGGCACCTGTATCCAGAAGCCTGCCTGCCTTCCCACCCTGAAGGAGGTCCGAGACCCTCAGGCTGCGGTTGCTCCCTCTCTGCACTCATAAAAATAGGCCAGGCGACTGCTGCACCCTCTTCTGGGGAGGGTCCAAGAGGCACTGGGTCTGACACTGAGGGCAGGCAGTTCTGTACTCACCGTCTCCTGCCGCCTTGGGATTCAACTTGGTGTCATCTTCAAAGAGAGAGCACAGAAGGGGCAAGATTAGTGGAATCATTACGGGCTTAGTCACTCCAAGTCCAGAAGGGACTTTAGGGAGGTTGTGTCCAAACCTTCATTTTAAAAGTAAGGAAACTGAGGCACAGAGGAGGAGACTTGCTCAAAGTCACACAGCAGTTGGGTGTAGCTGGAGGGTGGGGAGTCTATGATGGGGGCTGGTGAGAGATGAGGCCGTGAGTGGAGGGCCAGCTGCCGGGAGAGCAGTAGGAGACCTTGCCTGTTCTGCGGGCAGCAGAGAGCTATGGAAGGGATTCAAAGAGGGGCTGTGTGTGTCACAAAGTCAGATCAGCTTGCAGACTCCCTGGCAGTGTGCAGCAGAGAATCCCAACTCACTTTCTGTCTACACCTCAAGGCCTGCAGCCCATGGCTTTCTAAGTAAGTTTCAAGGGTCCAGCCTTCCTGAGGTTCCTTCCCATGAAGATTTTCATGGGGAAAGAAAAGCCAGAATTTCACCTCAGGAGGATGATGCAAATGACTGAAGATTCTTGCCCTAAGTCCCTGAACTTTCTTTATTTGAGAGAGGGTCTTGCTTCGTCACACAGGCCGGAGTGTGGTGGTACAATCATGACTCACTGTGGCCCCGAACCCCTGAGCTCAAGTGATCCACCTCAAGCTTCCCAAGCTGCTGCTCCTGGCTAATTAAAAAAATTTTTTTTTGTAGAGATGGGGTCTCACTGTGTTGCCGGGGTTGGTCTTCAACTCCTGGGCTCAAGCAATCCTCTTACCTCAGCCTCTCAAAGCACTGGGATTACAGGCAAGAGCCACCTCACCTGGCCAAACAAGGTATTTAAACACAACTTTGAATTTATTTTGTTACTGCAAGTTGAAGATAATGAATCGATTCATCAACGCTAACCAAAGTTAACTTAAATATCACTGGGCAAATCAACCTGTTGCAAATCTAGACCATTGAAAATCACCCGTAGCCCAGTCTGCACCGGCCACTGGTGGACAAAGGGACACAGTGCCACCAATGCCTAGTCCCTCCCAGAGCAACTTAGGCTGGCCACGCTGTGCCCACACAGCCTCTCTCCCTCTCACCAAGGGCTGGCTCCCAGCTGCCATCCTGCTGGGGCTCCATGGAATGCACACTGGCTCCTGAGTTAATGGATCACGTGAGAACTCACATAGGAAGAAATGCATGCAATGCTGATCAAATGAGGGGTCATTTTCTGTTAGTCGTCACTTCTGCAGCTGTCAACGTGTTCTGTTCTGTGGCTTATAAGTTAAGCCTTCTGCACACAGTTGTTCTCGGTGAGTGCCTGTCCCTCTTTGCAGTAAAATGCATGGGCTTTATGACAGCTACTTGCCATTCAGAGGTCTTCTGGTTCCTTTAAGTGAGTAGCGTTTGACTGCAAGTGAACAGCTCTTCAAGTCCAGCCCCCATGCCTCCCGCTTCTCCCACCCTGCTGCTGTCTGCCTGTGTCGTGCCCAGGCAGGCCCCTCTGGCTGGGGTGCTGGGTCCCTTCATTCACATCTCCCTGTTAGAGCCTGTACCCTCAGATAGAATGTACGGGAAAGACTATCCCACGCCTGCCTCTGCAAGTCTCTCTGTGTGGGCTGTAACCACACAGGCAGGAGAGTGACTCAAATTGTCCTGCCAAGATGCCTTGCAAGTTGGGCATGTGGGGGGAAGTCATCATGAAAAAGCTTTTTTCTTATAAACCAGGCACAATGGCACATACCTGCAGCTACTTAGTAGGTTGAGGTGGGAGGATCCTTGAGCCCAGGAGTTCAAGTCCAGCCTGGGCAACATAGCAAGATCCCATTATACCCCCCCAAAAGTTTTTTCTCTTATAGATGTAACTTTATAATCTTTGCCACCTCTTCCAGGACTGGAAGGACATAGAGCCCAAATTGTTTACTCTAATGAGTTTTCTGTTGGGAACCATTACACAAAACATAGAAGTGAGACGCATTCCTGAGGTGGCAGGGATGCAGTCAGATAATAAAACTGGCAAACAGAACTCGCTGCCTCTGTAGGACACAGAACCTGCGTGGTGGGCTGTGGAACAGCCTGGGGGCTCAGTAATAACAAGTTAGGATTTAGGCTTGGGCCCCAAGTGCCATGTCCTGGGCTCTCCACGCCACCACAGCCCCACTTCTAGCCTCTGACACTGTGGCTCCACCAGATACTGCCTGGCTAAACCCTCTGAGTGGGCCAGGGGGTATCTGTAGCCGCCCCCACCCACCCCGCCCAGTGCTGGGCTCCGAACATGCCCTCAGTAAGCCTAGCGGGTTCCCTGGGGATAAGTAATCAGGGACTACCGCCCTGTAAGAGGAGCTGTCTTTGGAAGGTTTCCTTGGACTCAGTCATTAACTCCCAAAGGGCAAAGTTTCTTTCTGCTGCTTTTTCTTTTCTTTTTTTTGAGACAGGGTTTCACTTTGTCACCCAGGCTAGAGTGCAGTGGCGCAATGATAGCTCACTGCAGCCTCCACCTCCCAGCCTCAAGCGATGATCCCACCTCAGCCTCCTGAGTAGCTGGGATTACACATGTGCACCACCATGCCTCACTAATTTTGGTATTTTTTTAGAGACACAGTTTTGCCATGTTGCCCAGGCTGGTCTTGAACTCCTGGGCTCAAGTGATCTGCCTGCCTCAGCCTCCCCAAGTGCTGGGATTACAGGCGTGAGTCTCGTCTCCCAGCCTCTGCTTTTTTACTGAATCCCTGGTAGCACCACCGCGTGCTCTGCTCTCAGTGCCAGCTCCTTGTTATTCCAAAGCAACTTCAGAGTAATGGAAGCTTTCGGAATCTGCCTCACTTTTTCACGTTTTGCTACTCCGCCCTGACCTGAACTCACAGAGAACCTTTTCCATTTCTTTCAGCACCAAGAGAGGCAGTGGGGTGGAGGGGAAAGATCTCTGCTCTGGGGGCTAGATGAAACCTGATCGTGTCTCTTCCTGGCTGTGTGACCTTGGGCAGGTCATCTGCCTCTCTGAGCCTTAGTGTCTCCTCTATAAAATAAGGATATAACAGTATCAAGATCCAGGATTGTTGGGAGGATGAATATTAATTCATGCGCTACTTTAGCACCCTACTAGGCACTTTGTTGGTCCCCACAGATGCTAGTGCTTCCTATCATTCATTCATCCTCCTCCTTCCCTGCTACCCGGAGGCCTGGAGGTCTTGGTTAAAGACCTTCCCCCCAGCCAGGTCCATGGGTCGCTGCCCTATTTCGCCAGTTCTCTAGGTGACGTTTAGAAAGGCAGGGGACTGGCTGGATGTGGTGGCTCATGCCTGTAATCCCAGCATGTTGGGAGGCCAGGATGGGCAGATTACCTGAGGTCAGGAGTTTGAGACCAGCCTAGCCAACATGGCAAAACCCCGTCTTTACTAAAAATACAAAAATTAGCGAGGTGTGGTGGCATGCGCCTGTAGTACTAGCTACTTGG